CGGTGGTAGCGATGGCAGCCGGCTGCCATCCTTTGCTTACGCGTGGTGAGGTCACGCGTCCGTGTCCCTCCACTCCCGTGGAGCTGCAGGAGACCCCCGTCTGACTTGCTGCCTACGCTTGCCTTGGCAGGGCGCGGTCTGTCTGTGCTGAGGATCGCCCTTGAGAGAACTGGCCGTGTTGGAAGCAGCCCGGTGGTGGCCGGGCCCCACTCGCATCCAAGCGCCCACCCGGCTGCTTCCCCCGCCTGGCCAGGGCGGGAAATAGGAACAGAGGGAGTGAGAAAACTAGTGGGTCAGATTAAAGTAAGGGGAATCATTTACCAGTTGCCATCACAGGCAAAACAGACTTGATTTGGGGAATTTATGTTAATTTGTTGCAGTTAGCTTAAATATTTAATTAGCGATTTGGGTATTGGGGAAAAAAAAACCCAAAACCCCCAAATAGCTACACGTTTGAGGAAAACACCCCTCCTCCTCCTCCTTTTCCAGGCTGAGCTTCACTTCAGACACCCCTCCTGCCCCCTTCCCAGTTTCCACTCTAGAGCTCTCTCTTTCCTCATTGTTACCACCAAAGGTGACACTCAGTCCGTTCAGCCAGGCAACAAGCAGCACAGGAGGTTGGGGACACAGTTTCTCTCTGCTGCGACTTCTCCACAGGCTGCAGTCCCTGCAGGAACCTGGCTGCCTCACCGCGGAACACCTCCTTCCCCTCTAATTTTGTTGTTTGCTCTTGACATTATCTGCCCTTTCTTAAATACACTTGGGCAGAGGTGCTGCAGACTTGGCTGATGAGCTGTGTGCCTTCTCAGTTATGTGATAGCGTGCGCTTGGCAAAGAAAGGCCATGGGACTATGGCAGCGGTAGTTCTGATTTTTTTTTTCCACACCACTAGCCAGAAATGAAATTTAGAATGTAGACCACCACACAACCTGATGGAAACGTCATTTCGCCTTTTTCCTCCCATAGTCTTCTGCTGGGAGAGGCAGGGAGGTGTGCAGGCTCTTTGGGCTGTGTGCTGTGAATACAGCCCAGGGCTATTTACCAAAGCCTGTGGGCTGCCCTTTGGGATGCACCATCCCCCTGTAGCTGTCACTCTTCATGCATTACCTAGACTAGAATAACTCACCTGTACAGGTGTCAACTGTTTAGCTCCTGGGGTTTTTTTGTTTTGTCTTTTGTCCTTAAAGACTACAACAGAAGGGGCTGAATATAGTCACTGACATAACTTTTTAAAAGTAAAAATTCTAGTGTGTTTAAAGGGCTTATGAGTTCATTCAACAAATCTGAAGTGTTATGTCCCTAAGTCTTTCCACCTTTTGATTTTCACATTGTTCTTAAAACATTTAGCTCCTTGTTCAGAAGAGGCAGATGGGTCCATAAGACTTCATTTCTGCAGCATGGTGTGGGAAACCAGAATGTTTTGCTCAAAGGAAATACATGTAATCTCACAGATACGGTGTTTGGCTGAAGTGCATCTATGTTTATTGCATTATTAGCCTCTCAATGTAAGGTTAATTATAGTGAAAGTTGCTCAGCACAGCATAAATTAACTTAAGATGAAATATCCTATTTCTAGCTTGCTAATCTCAAAAGTAGTTGTAGATCTAGTAAATACAAGCAGAAATGTAACTTTACTGGCTGTCTTTTAAACTATCTGAAAAAAGGCATACGTGATGGTGTAGAGGTATCATGACTAACTCTGTTACAAGGAGATTATGCTGTTTATATCTCTTCTTTGAAGTTTAAAATTACTTAACCAAGATCACTGGGAAAGTAATAGATTGCACTAAACGAATCTGCAAGAGATTTGGGCAGTCTCAGCAGCAGATATTTTTCAGACATGAACCTTACTACTGTTTATCATGGGTACTTAGGACTCTTTCCTGGATACCTGTTGTAAGAAGAACTAGTCACTGTATAGGGGGAAAAAACCCCAACAAACCCACAAACAAACAAACAAAAAACAGTGGGAAGTTTGTGGTTTCATTAGTATGAATACTTTAGAGGCCATTGGAAGGAATCTCTGCTGATGATGTTTTCTGGTAGGGTAATGTTACTCCCTATATGTGTGTATCATGCAAAAATGAAAATATAGACCTCATAAGCTATTATTTACATAAACCAGTGTGCTTCTGATGACCTGTAACAACTTAAAAGTAGGTCCTCTGAGAAATTTCTAGTGCACTACAAGTAGCACATTATGTAGGTGGCTTTGAATAGATTCTGAGCTTCAAGAGACCCCTGTGGGTACTTAGGAACTATAGAGTGGATGTTCTTTATCTGGAAAAAGGTTAGGAGTGTACTTCATACATCAATCACTGCCTTCATTGTGTTTTCATGGTTGAGTTTTTCTGGCCTGTTGAGAATCATTTGGGACGGGATGTCTTGTTTATGGAGAAATGCTGGTTAGATAGTATTCTTAAAAAGTTTATGTATACAGAAAAACAAGGAGGGAAAAAAGGAATTTTCTTTTTAAAGGCAGGGGAGAAATAAGGTGAGATTTGTTCTGTTTCACAACTATGAGACGAAGAAACATAAAATGAATATTCAGTCAAAAAGTTAAGTGCCTACACTTAATGCAATGAAAACTATTTTTCCTTTACCTTCTTTCCCTTGATTTCTTTTCTGTTTAAGATAGCAAAAAGAGGTGCAAAGTACTAGGCACAGACTTGTTCTCAGACCTGTGGTAGATGATGTCATCTCCCTTTGCTGCAGCTGACTGTGAGAAATACAAAGAAATCTTCTCACGGGGTAGCAGATCTGAACTTGAAATGAAAATGTCAAAGAATAATTTATATAAGTTAGTTTCACAAACTGCCTTCCTAAGGATTCCAAAGTGTCTCCATTTTCATTATCAGTTGCATTACATTTTCCTGGGAAAAAAAAAAATTAAAAAAAAAGAAGAGGTAGAGTTGAGATAACATTTTGCAGCATATACTTGGGGTTTGCTAATGAAATCCTGCAAAATTCAGATGGGTGTTTTTAGTAAGGAGGGTGAGGAAGGAGCTAGTTATTTGTATTTCCTGCAAAAGAGCTAAAAAGCAGTGTTTCGATGCAGCATTTCTGAGGCTGGCTGTATGGTCTTAGGGCCTGGGTACTTCAGCCCTCCATGGTGAAGGTTGCCTGGTCTGATTATTTCTTAGGACAGTTGCATAATAAATGCCAGTGTTGCAAAATAACTTGCTCTGCTGGCTTATTTATGTAGGCATTTTACTGAGAACCGTAAATCCACATAGAGCACAGTTTCCCTGCCCAGCCACCAGCCTCTCACTACCTAAGTTCCGTGCAGAATGTTGAATTTACAGCCTGCTTATTTGTGTTATTTTGCTTGATTTCTCCTGCATTAAATATAGCTCTGAAGAGCAGTCAACTAGACTTTGAGAGGTTACAGAGGACCTTCAGGAGGAGTGAATGGCAGTGTTTTTGCTTTGGTTCAAAAGGCTTATACAATCCCATTCCTGACACTGGCAACCAGTGCGAGTCAGGATACCTGAAACGCTGATACAAGGTAAAGTGGACCGGCATGCATTATTATTAGGTTAGCTCTTGAAATTGAATTCAATTTCACATCTGCTGTTCAATTAAGAAAACTAAAGAAGAAAGTAAGACATAACGAGGTTGAAACATGGCTGTGCAGAGTTTTCAGTCATAGTTGAAACCATAACTTTCAACTTGCAAATAGCTGAACAATTTTCAACTGTAACATGGTGACAGGACTGTTCTAGAAGGTCATAATGCAATATAAAATGAAGTGTCCTCTAGGACCTTTCCATTATCTCTGACTTAATTTTTTTTTCATTTAACCTCCTGTCACTCTTAATTTCTCTCAATATAGATGTCTCATCTTGTGATAAAAAGTATATACAAAAATAGACATTGAATCATGAGGCTGGAAAAATAATGAATGTTTTTACTTAATCTTTAGCTGTCTGGCCTTAGGACTTGCAGATGACACTTTATTTACTTTTTATCTTTTTAAATGAGCTGCTTGCAGAATATTGTTACTTCCGTGTGTGAGACTACAAAACCCACTGTCATAAGTCTCAGAATCAGAATGATTTTCTGTGATGGGTACTGTATCACGGAGTCACATATAGCAATGTAAATGTGTTTGGCCTGTTTTATCACAAACACTTTTATTAGTAGGTATGTGTGGATTATTATTCCCTGTTAATATTTAATTTTTCTTCTAACAAAAATGTAAAGTTACCTAATCTTGACAAAGCAGTGAAGTCCTTTTAGACACTGTATGCCTGTGGATATTGTATGCCTTTCTTTTTTTTCCCCTAAGAAAAACCATTCAGGTACTTGAGCATGAGACATGATTTCTGTTGGCTGCAGAGCCTATCAGTTTGTCTTAATAAAGTGCAGGTTGCTGCATATGCATTTTTATGAACTAAGGGAGAGTAGAAAAGCTACTCAAGGATATCCTTGTGCTTTCTCCTCAGTACAGACCTAATTCTTCCTTCAAACAGATAGTTCTTACAAGTAATCTTTCTGAATGCTACAGAAGTGGCATATCCTTTACTTTGTACAAATCAGGGGAATGGTTCCATTTCATCAAGAAGATTTCATCCAAACAGATACATAATATTTTGAAAAACTTTATAATATTCTGAACAACTTCATAGTTATTGGTCATCATATTTAAATTGGTCATCATATGTAAATCTTTAATTAACAGACTGTTTTTCAGAATTGCCCTGTACTAGATTACTTTCAACAACAAAATATGATTCCATTTACTGACAACTCCTGTGGTGTTTGTCATGTTTCATAATGGAAAATAAACACATAATTCACACTGAAAATTATTTTTTCGGTATGTTTGATAGGAAAGAAGCTTATATTATTTCCTGTACTGGATTTAAGTACACTAATTCATCTTGTCACCTGGTCTATGTTAATACTGTACATTGTAGCTTTCAACTAAATTTGGCTTCACATGGCGCTAATAAATTGGCTAAATTGTATGTAGAAGCATTGTGCAGATCATCAGTATGTATCTCTCAAAATTCCACAGCATGGTGTTTAAACTTGATGTCTGAAGCTATACTAAGTAACTAAAACTACTCGCAGAACACTTTTTGTTGTGTGGTTTCGTCATTTTTGATACCAGTCTTAATGATAAATGTGCATGGTGGACAATGAGAAACATTGATACAGCTTTTCTAATCTTTCATAGATCCAGAGGGGGCTTGTTATCTACATATGCTTCTTCAAAGGTGCTGATGAGGATCTTGTTCCAAAAATTGGTATGATATAATCCTTATAAATTCTTATATGTGAAAAAGAAGAAAAGCATTAGAGGCAGAGAAGGCATCAACCATTTGGACAACAAGTCATCAAAAAGCCATCAGATAGCATAATTCCAAATTAATCACCTGGCTGAAAGAACAGCTTGGTCAGCCTTGTTTCTTTTGACAGTTGTCCATACCTCTCACTCTGTCCATCTGCTGATGATCAACCTATTAGAAAATAAATTCCCATGATGATAACATTCTAGCAAACAGAGAAAGCGCTGCACCTGCGTATTACATATTACATATATCAGGCGTATTTCATATATCAGACATATTACATATATCAGGCAACAGGCTTGGTCCAGCACAGAACTGAATTTAGAGAAAACTGTTTTCAGAAAACTCATGGCTTGATTTCACAAGTATTTTAATACTGATCTCACTGTATGTTGAGGATATTTAAAATTATAGCCAGTAGAGGGAGTTGGGTGGATAACTAAGCAGTGTCCTTCCCATCTCATTTCAGAAATACTATATATAGTATTAGCATTTCAAGTGCAGTGTTCTAGTTCAGAAGTGGTAACAGCAATATCTGCAGTTCTTTCCCTCTTCTCCATATACACTTTAACATTTACATCAAAGCGGAGAAGATGCTGTGGATCAGGTCAAACTGTAGTGATTTCACCCACTGTTGTTTTGGCTTGAGGTTTTTTGGTTTGTTTTCTTTTTTACTTTTATTTAATTTCTTCTCCCTCTCTTCCTCCATCAGTAGCACTGGGTCACCTGGGAAATTACATGATGCCACATATTCCAGATAAAAGTGCCCCTTTTCTGTGGCTGGCTGGTATTAGTGGTTTTGAAAAAGGTCATGTAAAAATAGGCTATTTCAGGCTCCTTGATAGGACCAGCAGAAAGACCTGACACTCTGCAAGCACAGGTGCTATTCAAAATGCTGAGAGCAGCTCTGGGGGGTTCTCTCTTGGTCTTGGAGGGCACAGTCTATCCATGATGCTAAACTAAGTTGAAACCAAGTGTATTTAAAGCTATGATACGAAAATTGATTTTGTGCTTGTGAGAGTTTCATTGAGAACAATAACTTTTCAGCTGTGTGGCAGCTGAAACAAGCCAGAAAAAGAAAGTTCTGTTTCCTATTAGCAGATTTGTCTATGACCAATTATCCTTAAGTGCACAGAATATTTTTGCCTAAATGTATTTTGAAACCTTTTAAATGAGTGGTTTTGGTTCCTGAATCACAACTTGTATTTTGCTTCGAGCAACATGAAACTTTTAAGGGTTTCGAGGCATGACTAGTAAGTATCCTTGCAGCTTTTACAGAGTTGGAGGAAGTTTGGGGGGAATTATTTGATTTGTTACAGAAACATTGGAAAATATTATGCTAGAAAATGCATCGATTTTATTTGCAAGTTATGGTTTATAGGCAAATTGCATCTCTGATCTTCCTGCCCATCTCCTGTCTCAAAAGACAAGTTGGCACCTGCACGTATCACAGTGGAGCACTGAAGGGCACTCACTCCACTTGAGACCAAACTGCTGAGCTGTGGCTTCAGCCTAGATCAGGGCCGTGTCCTGCTGTGAACTACTGCGTCAGAATGAAGAGTCAGTCAGGGCAGAAGCTTCTCCGAAGTGCACTGAAGACGGTGTTATCTCCTACAGTGTGTGCAAATGTTGCCTATTGGAGTATCAGGCAATTACGTTAGGGTCACTAACTGGATGCTGGGTTCCTTTGCACACCCCAACTAGAATCAACTTTAGGATTTCAGACAGACAACCACAAAAATAACTCTTTAGACATACTACATAAATATAAATATCCTTCACATTCTTCACAGTACTCGGACATCTTAGCTGCTTAGTAGTATTTACAGACTGTGCTTTGTTGCATTAATAATCAGCTTCTTTTACTTGAATATTTCATCACACATCGCAATATTGGTTGAATTTTGTTTTATGATGTTATACTAGGTCCTGTTTAATTTACTTTAGTAACTAACTTTTATTTTTATTTGCAGCCAATATGCTATTGAACATTAAATTAAGTGAAAACGAAAGCGGCGAGTACGTTTCTGTTCTTGATTTACCAGGTGATGTGCTAATCATACCACAGGCTACCTTAGGCGGTAAACCGAAGGGAAGAAAGATGCAGTACCATGCAAACATTGAAAAAGAAAAAGGGCTGGAACTTTATTCTCAGTTAGTGACTATGTGTGAAAAAGAACTGGCTGCAAATGCCAAATGTGGAGAAGCAGGTGTTCTTGTCAAGCATGGGACATACGGAAACAGGCAGGTGTTAAAACTGGATACAAATGGACCTTACACTCATCTTATTGAATTTTGAAAAAATAATTGATGTCCTGGCTTGCAAATGTTGTCTTTTTTATTTTTTTTTTTTCATTTCTAAGCATTAATGTACTTAAATGGTTTGGGAAATACAGTGTAAGAAAGACTTTCACTCATCTGTACTGGTGTTGCCAATCCCAATAAAGGGTGCCATCCCATAGAAAGATGCCCGAGACTGCTTTGCAGTAGGTGTTTGAGCACATCTTAAGCGTGCTCAAAATGTTAATATTGATCCAACAAAGATGTATAAATTGGAAGGCTTTATTAACAAAATTGAGGTAACGCATACATTTATTACTGCAAAATAATGACAGGTATTACATGTATTAGCTATGGTAAAGTACACTTGAGGAAGCAAAGTTTATAGATTTAAAAAAAAAAATGCTGTAGATGTAATTATTTGTTTGCAGATTTCGTGAGACAGTTTTTGTCTTTCTGTTTTCTGTCTTCAAAATAGTGATGCTTTCCAGCTAACAAACATTTTGGAAGCACAAAGCCACTGATTTTTTAGCCTCTTAGAGAGTAAATACTAAATAAGAAAGTCCATCCACCTCATCCAGAGTTTGTAGGAGCGGGACACTTAGGTTAACACTAGGACTAAACATGGGCTATACAGGGAAGAAAAAGTGAGGCATATCTAGCAACTGAAGTCAAGGCAGTACTACTGAATTGCTTTCCTGAAGTTTGCCCTCCAAAATGTCCTCTGATGCATTTTGATAGGCTGCTTGCTGTAACTTGGTCTGTGTCCTTGTTACCTTGGTCTTGTCTACTCCTTTCATAAAAGACCCTCAGGAAAAAGACTGAAATATTCAAATGAAAACAAAAAAACCCTGTGACAGTGTATGCTGCCATGTCATGGCTCCCTCTGCCCCTATTGCTTCCTTCCAGCTTTTGTCTATTCAATCCACCAGCTGAGACTATTTATATTTCTTTTATATACAGTGTTGGCACATTTGGTGCCCCATTCCCAGCTGACCCCCTATGCAGTACTGTCATAAATATTATTAACAGATGGTATTAAGAAAATGTAATGGGAAATTCTGTCTTGTAAGGCAGTAAGAACCAGAACAGCCACATTAAAATGTGGCAAATTCAAAACTGATTCAAGTGCTTTCATCCTGTGAGTCAAGTTCCTCTTTTACTGTAGCATCATGGGTTTTGAAGTCAGTAATTTAGAAGGATACAAAGTGAAATCAGACAATTACATGGTTTGCAGTGATGATCCAGAATTCCGATTTAAATAATAAATTCTTCTGGAAAATATGTAAAACCTCCTGGTTAGTGAGCATGCCAGCTTGTACAATCTTAAAATGTATGTCAGTAGTTACAAATATTCTGTCCTTTAAAAAACATAAATTAATGTATAATCTGTGGGCTGATACTATTCCATGAGAATCACATTTTTTGAAGAGATAAAAAGCTCAGTTTTGATTAGAGAGTAATGAGATTGAGTAATGATGTATGGTTAATAATTATGAAATTACTAAGGAAGTTGAATTCCTGGCAACTGGCACTCTCACAGTTGAAAACAACTCTTCACACAAACGGCCTGGAAATAATACAGCCAACATGGCTTCACCAAGG